CACATGTAAGTACCATGCATAAGGATTCTGTCACCATTTTGTGCCAATTGCCCTAAAATAATAATATTGTTGCCAAGTCTTGGTATAAAATATACTTCCTTGAGCTCTCGATGTTCTCCATTCTTGCATTTAAAAATGATGGAACCCCTTACTTCTATTCGAACTCTAGACCTATCCCCAAATTTGACATAGCCTTTAATTAAGGTATCAATTTCGAAATTTACCTCTTTCACCCGTCATGTGGTTGTTGGCTCCATTGTCAAGGCACCATACTTTTGATAGGCTTGATATTCTTCCCTTTTTCTTAGGGTTGAGTTTACTTTTTCTTCATTTAGCATGACTTCATCTTTAACATGTTCATTGCTCACGGCTGCAAGTAATAGGGCTGGTTCGGCATCATTGACATTTTGGGTTAGATTAGCTTCTTGAATCCTTTCTCTTTGTGGGTTTTTGCATTCGGAAGTATAATGCTAGTATTCTTGGCAATTATAGCATTGTATCTTGCTTTTGTCGTAGTTTTTAGTTTGGTTTCGCCCATGACAGTGATCCTCTATTCTGGTGATTACCACCTCTTCCACGACCTGAGTTGTTCCAATTACCTCTTCCATGACCAGAACTGTTCCAATTACCTTTTCCACGACCTCTTCCTCATCCCCCACCATTGCTTGAATTACCTTGTTGTTTGTTCTTTGATTCTAGCCCGTTGGATTGCTTCTTGTTTCTTTCCAACCATTCTTCATGGGTTACGAGCAGTTTCTTTTCGTGTACTTCTTGATGTACTTGAATATGCACTTTGTGTGCTTTGAGTCTTCCAACGACTTCTTCAACTGTCATCGTATCAAGATCAGCAAATTGTTCAACTTTTGATGCAATTTGAACAAATCTGGAAGGCATGGCTCGTATAATCTTCTTGACCACGTACACTTCGTCCATGGTATCACCTAATGCCCGGATGTTGCTCATGATGTTGCTGATTTTTGCTGAAAATCATCAACCGTCTTGGATTCTTTCATACTAAGAATCCTGAATTCAGTCTTTAGTGACTGAACTTTTGCTCTTCAAACTGGATCTGCACCCATATACATAGTCTTGAGTGTTTCCCACACCTCTTTTTCCATTTGCTTCTCCACTATCGACAAAAGGATTTCTTCCGGGATGGCTTGGTAAATCGTTGCCGTAGCCCTCTTATCCTTCTTGACACCAACTGCATTCTCGAGTTTCTTGGGTTCAATCGCATCCCAAACCTCCATTGCTTGCATGAACACCTTCATCTTAATTGCCCATGCGGCATAGTTGATTCTAGTCAAGGTGGGATAATCCATCTTCGGTCCTTCCATGGTGGGGGTGTGAAAGATTGGTTAGTCGGATCTCTTATGTGTTCTTCTGAGCTCTGATACCAAGTGTTGGTATCTACATGATAACTTGCTGCAACCTTGTTACCTAAGAACAGAAAACAAAAGCAGAACCGGAAGGAAAGAAGGGAAAAAAACTGCACAAGCAACAGGTGATAACATGGGAAGAAAAAGAACGACATTTTTTTATTTTGCTTGGTGGAAAGAAAACTTTTATTGCTGAAAAACTTCATTCTAAATACCTATATACATAGCATATTTAAAGTAAAAGAAAAAGAGTTGACTCATAGTCTAAAACCGGAAACAAAAATAATACAAACAATTTTCCTAAAATGCCCCTGTGGGATTTTTCTTGAATTACACCAACAACGGTCATAGTGCATAATCATAATTGAACATAATACTTCTACGGATTTTCTATGATTCTCAGTTAATCTCGTATGCAAAAATTTCACATATAATTAGTTGTGATAGGGAAATTGCATAGCTTTAACAATATGACTCATTGGCTTTAATTTACATGATCTTTGGGTGTATAAGCAATCAAAAGTATAGTTAAACATTGCTATAATTCTGTTCGTATATCTAATCACCAGGTTCTTTTTTGATACGATGGAATTGTTTTCAACGGGGACCCAATTCGTCTTGTAACGCATCAAAGTTTAGCCAAATTATATTTTAATTTGGTTTACGAACAAAAGCGTGTTAGAGTTAATGGTTGATATATCACCATCACAAGGTCATGGACCCAAGTGCTACATATTGTTCACCAATTATATATTTGATGGTAAGTGTGTACAACTTAATAAATACCGCACCGATCATAGAGTTAAAATTCCAGAATAATTCATAACATTAATTACCAATTCATATTACGAAATATTTGGTTTCCCAGTTAAGGTCATTAGTTTCATTCCCCTTAAATGACAAATGGAAGAAAGATCAGTTGGTACTGGTTAGGTTTACCACTAGAAGCAACTATCTTTGTTAGCTCCATTTCACTCCTAAAATTCACATTTCCAAAATAATCAACGGTGAAATTAGTTTCTCATTCATACACTAGACAAATTATAGTGAACTCAAAACTGTTCCTTAATCCGATTTCATACAAGTGGAAAATTTGTCTCGATTTAGTTACAAATGGTAAAAAAAACCTAGTGGTTAGTTGGTTGTAAGAATGCTGTATAGAAGTCATAATGCGCCCAACTGAGAAGCAACATCACTGAATGTATATTCACTGCATGGAATTGTGAGGCCACCCATACGATGAACATACCCAAATTCTTGTTCTGCCTTATCTAGTAATTCTTGAAAAGCAGGTTGGCTTAACAACCATACAGGAACCACATATCGCTTCTTCTCTTGTTCACCAACATAGATTGCTAAATAGCCTTTCGGAATGTCCACAGATTTGGTTGTGCTGCTTCCATTAGATAATGATCTTCGCAGAATTTGTTTCGCTCGAATGATCCGAGGAAAAAGGATAGCCATTTTTAAGAAGGGTGGTGTCTGTTCAGTTCAAAAGCCTGATTAAGGAAGGAAACTCTCAACGAACGTCTTCTAGGTGAAAAAGTGTGAATGATTTCAGAGGATGTTGTGGTTGTGTGATTCATATCGAATCGTATTTATATACAGAGATACAAGGAGATCTTGATTGAGGATGTGATGTACTGTGGAAGAAAAGGCAACCTCACATGGCTTTGTCTTCCAACCTGTAAGACAGATCCAATGTCTAATTCATGTATTAATGATAGGGTCACATATGTTTCAAGAAAACCCCAGAGATCTTAGCCACAATATAGTGTTTGTTGGGAGGCATTGCCACATTCATCTTAATATTACATGGGACCATGGTCCTTCAACCGTTTTTCATACCCAACTATGTTTAGAATACTGGTGATACAAGTTATCTTCTTTGTTAAATTTGTTTCTATTCACAAGTACTTGATTAAGCCATATTATTGCTTGTGACTTTGTGGTTGTGCAATTCAAGATCGTACTTTTAATTATACAAGTGAAAAGAAACAGCACATGATCTTGTCGTCCACTCGCAACGTCCCGATCTGTCATTTAATTTCCTTTTTATCAATTAATGTACATTCGAAGCTCCAATAAACCTTTATATATAGCATATGATAGGCAAAGCACCAACATAATTTCCTCTGCAAACTCCTCCTGTACATCTTTCACTTAGAGAATACTCCCAAATTCTTTTGTCCCTCGGTGATAAACCTTCAGAAAAATGGGTATTCGCATGCCTCGGATCATTCAAGCAAGACAGATACTAAAACGGTCTTTGTCAAATGGAACCCACACAACAGAAACGGATCTACTGAAAGGATATTTTGCAGTTTATGTTGGAGAGCAAGAAAAGAAGCGTTTTGTGATTACTGTGTGGCCTAACAATCCGGTGTAGTGAGCAGACATTCTTTGATCCTGCAATCGCCTGGGAGCATTTTGAATTCAAGATACATCATTCTATTTGCTTACACATTTTTGTAAAGCACTGATCACATACCTTTTTGCTACATGCATGCGAGACTGAGTCACTTGTCCCTATTGTATAAAACATGAATTTTCACTTGTTTGGAGTACCCTGTATATTATTTGACGATATATTACTTGAATGAGAAACAAAACTCTTTGTCAATATTTTTTTTTTTTCTATCAAAAAAGAAGTGTCTACTAAACTTTAAAAAAAATTACTTTGAATATAGGCATATTACACTTTTTTTGTTGGGATGTTAGCTATGCTAATAACAACGTATGTTTACACTTGATATGAGGAATTACAATCAAATATCAATGTTTTTTTCATTGTCCCGTACGTAATGGTCATAGTGCATGGTCCTGATTGAACATAATACTTCGACGGATTTTATAAGATTCTCTGTTAATGCCATATTCAACAATTTCACATATTAATTAGTTGTGATAAGGAAATTGCATAGCTTCAACACCATGACTCATTGGCTTTAATTTACATGATCTTTGGGTGTATAAGTAATTAAAAGAACAGTAAAACATTGCGGTAACTCTCTTCCTATATCTAATCACCGGGTTCTTTTTTTGTACGATGGAACTGTTTCCAAAGGGGACCCAATTCATCTTGTAATGAATCAATGTTTAGCCAACATATATTTTAATTTTGTTATAAAGAACAAAAGCATGTGAGAGCTAATGGTTGATATATCACCATCACAAGGTCATGGACCCAAATGCTACATGTTGTTCACCAATTATATTTTTGATGATAAGGCTGTACAACTTGTTAAATACCGCACCATTTATAGAGTTAAAATTCCAGAATTCATAACATTAATTACCAATTCATATTAAGAAATATATGGTTTCCCAGTTAACCTCATTAGTTTTATTCACATTAAATGGAAGAAAGATCAGTTGGTATTAGTTCGGTTTACCACTAGAAGCAACTATCTTTGTTGACTCCATTTCACTCCCAAAATTCACATTTCCAAATTAATCAACGGTGACATTAGTTTCTCATTCATACACTAAACAAATTATAGTGAACTCAAAACTGTTCCTTAATCCGATTCCATACAAGTGGAAAATTTGTCTCGATTTAGTTACAAATGGTAAAAATAAACCTAGTGGTTAGTTGGTTGTAAGAATGCTGTATAGAAGTCATAATGCACCTAACTGAGAAGCAACATCACTGAATGTATATTCACTGCATGGAATTGTGAGGCCACCCATACGATGAACATACCCAAATTCTTGTTCTGCCTGATCTAATAATTCTTGAAAAGCAGGTTCGCTTAACAACCATACAGGAACCACATATCGCTTTTTTTCTTGCTCACCAACATAGATTGCTAAATAGCCTTTCGGGATGTCCATAGATTTGGTTGTGCTGCTTCCATTGGATAACGATCTTCGCAGAATTTGTTTTACTTGAGTGATCCGAGGGAAAAGGATGGTCATTTTTAAGGAGGGGGGTGTCTGTTCACTTCAAATGCCTGATTGAGGAAGGAAACTCTCAAAGCACGTCTTTAGGTGAAAGGGTGCGAACGATTTCAGAATATGTTGTGATTGTGTGATTCATATGGAATGGTGTTTATATACAGAGATACAACTAAGCAGATCTTGATTGAGGATGGTGACATACGGTGGAAGAAATGGCAACCTCACATGGATTTGTCTTCCAACCTGTAAGACGGATCCAATGTCTAACTCATGTATTAATGATAGGGCCACATATGTTTCAAGAAAACCCCAGAGATCATAGCCACAATTTCATGCTTTTTGGGAGGCATTGCCACATTCATCATAATATTACATGGGACCATGGTGCTTCTACCGTTTTTCATATACACCTAAGTTTAGAATATTGGTGATACAAGTTATCTTCTTTGTTAAATTTCGTTTCTCTTTACAAGTACATGATTAAGCCATATTATTGTTTGTGACTTTGTGGTTGTGCAATTCAAGATGATACTTTTAATAACACAAGTGAAAAGACAGCGGCACATGATCTTGTCTTCTAGTCGCAATGCCGCATCTGTCATTTAATTTCCTTTTTATCAATTATGGTACATTTGAAGCTCCACTAAACCTTTATATATAGCGTATTATAAGCAAAGCACCAGCATAATTTCCTCTGCAAACTCCACCTGTACATCTTTCACTTAGAGAATACACACAAATTCTTTTGTCCCTCCGTGATACACCTTCAGAAAAATGGGTATTCGTATGCCTCGGATCATTCAAGCAAGACAGATACTAAAACGGTCTTTGTCAAATGGAACCCACACAACAGAAACGGATCTACCAAAAGGATATTTTGCAGTTTATGTTGGAGAGCAAGAAAAGAAGCGTTTTGTGATTCCTGTGTCATTGTTAAGCCAGCATTCATTTCAGGACTTATTACGTGAGACGGAGGAAGAGTTTGGATATGACCATCCAATGGGCGGCCTAACAATCCGGTGTTGTGAGCAGAATTTCTATGATCTTGCAAGTGGCCTGGGAGCATTTTGAAGTCAACTGACATCATTCTGTTTGCTAACACTTTTTTGTAAAGCACGGATCACATACCATTTTGCAACATGCGAGATTGAGTCACTTGTCCTAGCTAGTTGTATAAAATATGAGTTTTGACTTGTTTGGAATACCATGTATATTATTTGACGATATAGGTTTACACACTTGAAGGAGAAACAAAATTCATTGTCAATATTTAAGAAAAAACCAAAGTATCAATATAGCTAGGAACATCACCGATGTGCGAAACTAAAATCAAACATCAAGGTATTTTTCATTTTCCTGTTGGTAACGATCAAAATGCATAATACGGATTAAACATACTATTTCTACGGGTGTTCTATGATTCTTAGTTTATGTCATTATGCAACAATTTTGCATATTAATTAGTTGTGGTAAGAAAAATTGCATAGAGTTATCGTAGGACTCATTGGCTTTAATTTACACGATCCTATGGTGTGTAAGTAATTACAAGAATAGTTAAAAATTGTTATAACTCTATTCGTATATCCAATCACTAGTTCGTTGTTCATACGAAGGAGTAGTTTTCAAGTGAGGCCCAATTGGGTCTTGTAATGCATCGATGATAACTTATATTTTAATTTTGTTAAGGAACAAAAGGATGTGGGGGTAGTAATTGGTAATATATCACTATCACAAGGTCTTGGACCCAAATGCTACACATTGATCACCACTCTTTTTTGAGAAATCTGTAAAACTTTATAACAAATTTATTGAGAGAGAGAGAGAGAGAGCTCATAACATTATCAACTGATATTACAAAATATTTGGTCTCCTAATTAACTTCATCCGCTTTAGTTCACTTTAAAGGTCAACCGGTAGAAGGATTAGATAGTATATTAGTTAGATTTACACAAAGAGCTACTATTTTTGTTAACTTTGTATTGTCTATGCACTTGTATAAGACAAGCCAATATGTAACATTAAACACATTACTCCATTTCACTCCCAAACAAAAGAATCATATTTATAAAATAGTCGACAAAAAAAAATTTGTTTCTGTTTTCTTTATATTCCCTAATGTTTAATAATTTTTGAATTGTTGAGTATGTAATGATTTTGCTTGCCTTGTAGTCTAGATAGTGGAAAGAAAGTTCAAATAGCAAATTGGTACATCAGAAGATAGAAGGGAAAATAGTAGGAGACAAAAATGTTGTTTTAAAAAAAAAAATTAGAAATTGAGTGTTTTTAAGATGTTAGTCGTTAATACTTATCTTATTGGTTTAGTGGTGTTTTAAATTTCTCAAACTCTTAAAAATTTCGTTTGGTGGTGTTTTAACTTTTAAATTAAGAGGAAGAATTGTGCAAGGAATAAATGGATTGCAACTGCAAGGTGTAGCGTTAGTTCAACCTCGCAAGAGTTCTTGACAAGGTTAGATCCAATACATAATAGAATGAATCGAGGAAGTTTTAAAAATTTCAACAATGAGTCCCTGGATCATGTAGGATTAAAAATGATACGATCGGTGCCTTAGGCCCACTGTTTTTTTTTTTTTCAGTAATATGAGGGCACACTATCCTCTCCTCGTTAAGCAACACGACATTTATGAATTGGACAACGCAAATATGATCAATGACTATTGGAATTCAAATAACATAACATCCACGAAAATGGTGGATCAATTGGGATAACTAGGGATCGATGGTAAGTTGTAGCTTTAACCATTGTAGCTTTAACCAGAGGGATTTTTAGTTATTAGATTGAATCGTCAGATCATCATGATATTACGACCAAAGATTCCAAAGAATCAACCCTAACTGTAGGATTAAGTATCTTTCAGAAGTTGATATCATGAAAATTTATATGGGGTTTAACCTTAGTCGTAGGGTTAGGTGTTGGATCAAAACCTTGCCCCTAGGGTTGGATGATCATGTAGTATACTCCTATTTTGTAAAAATCATAACAAATAATAGAAATATCTTATGAGTGCAATATCAAAATGAAACACACCTCTTTAGGTTTTATATTTTAAAAAACATTTATAGATCTTAGTCACAAATTCATCAACATTGGTTCACCTAAGACCTTTAGATGTCACATAAGTGTTAGGGTTGCTTATATGAATATCACATCAACAACAAATGTTGTATTAGATCCTAATACTCAATTAATCAACAATGATTCATCTAATATCCTATTCCATCATTACTTTCCTCACTAATCAATTGTAAACATTCAGCTAAGTCATGAAGCTTAGTTATTGGAATCAATGGTATGGAGTTGGAGATTCCATCCATGAAATTTCTCCAAGCTTGAACTAATTGAGATTACATCAAGTAATTCACAAAATGATTAATCTATTAGTCAAGCAACAATCCAATTTAAATTAGATTTGATTTGAATCATTGAACTCATTAGTTCAATCATCCTAACATTTATTAAATCTATAATTGAATCCAAATCCAATAATAGAGGTTAGAGTGCAACTAATCATAGCTAAAGTATAACTAAAACATGAAGTGGAGTTTGAATCACTCATTTCCACCATTAATGATGAATTTTAATCGTTCAATGGTGTATTAACAATATCATGCTCTTCAAGAGAGTAATCCAAACATTCAAACTCATACAAACCATTAGATGGTTGGAAAATTTAGATTTCTCAAAAACTAGGGATTGGATAACCCAAACTTAGCTCCATACCAAACTTCTTAATGATCTCCAATATAAGTTGTCTAATTCGTTTGTCTATGCAACATCTCTCTAATGTAGCGTGCACCAATGTAACATTTATTTGATTAAAACCACCCATTATCAGAGTTTAAATTACGAAATACAGTCTCACCGAGCTCTTTCCATGAACAATCTACAAGACATTTAATCTATAACTATATGCATAAATCTTAGTGAGTTCCCAAGTATACCACACATTCCATCATACATACAATTCATCCAAAAAAAACCTTGGCTTTAGTGTCGAACAATCAACTCTCATGTCCACATACATATAACATACATAATGGGCCCAACCTTAGGGAGTATACGAGCACAGCTAGGAACATGTTTCATATGGGAGAAAACATAAAATCATAGGCTTAGGCTGTAATAGCTACCATGTCGTGGCTATCCTCATCCCACATCGTGGAGCTCACTAGGAGAACGGGTTTCATATGAATCATGCCACTTCGTGGGCATCCATGCACCACATCATGGTAGAGGGTTTTTCTTTAAAATCCCATTTTTGATCCCTTTAAGTCTTTACCTAATATTTCCAGAAAACGGGTGTTACAACCAAGCTATTTGTATTTCACGATAGAACCTAACTTGAAGTTTCTAGAACTTTGATGGTCATTTGTTAATGAATTCATTTGAAATGAGTGTCGTTCATACATGTAAGATGCCCATAGTCTCAAGGTGCAAGACCTTTTACAACACATGACCAAATTCCTTTTACTATCATTTTTAATGTAACACAATTGATATCCATCGACAATGACTTTTCAACACAAAGTACATTTACACATTTTCATTTTTTTATTTATAAATTAATTCGGTGTACATTTATGTTAACTAGGTTGAAACAAGACTTTATTAAAAGGAACATATACAATAAAAGTAATATCGAAATATGAGTCGGGCATTACCATTTGTCTATAGTTCAGTTATCTCCAACTACTAGCTTTATACCCTTAGTAGATTTACTTACTCCTGAAAGACACACAACAAATAAAAAGGTAAGCTACATGAGTTTAGTGAGTAACCTACACAATATACACATATAATATCGATAATATTATATCATATTGGCAATACACAAGTGATATCTCATAGTTCCTTCCGTGTTTAACTTATTATGTACTCACAATGGGTTTCACTACACATGTTTACCAAACAATGGGTTTACAACTACTGAAATTGCTATTTCAAGTATTAGTTCTTAATAATGATTTTTGCAATTATTCAACTACCATTTTAAAAATCA